CAAAGTCGGTTAATGGCGCAGCTAACTACAATTGAAATGAAACCAGGCGAGAAGGGAATGGCGTATATCAGTCGCTGCCGCGAGCTGCGCGACAAGCTTCTTCGATGTGGAGGATCGATTTCAGAGGACGCCTTCCTCATGGTTGTCATCGGCGGTCTTGGTCCTCACTGGCGCTCCACTCGCGCCATACTACGAGCCCACGGGAAAATCTCTGAAGCAGCACTTTGCGCCGAAATCCACGCCGAACAGCAAGACATGGACATGCAAGAAGAACGACAAAAGAGAAAAGTGTCAGTGCCCGAATTCGCGTTTCACACTCAACGGCGCTACAACAACAACAACAATCGACCGAAAATCATACCTCCGTTCTGCCACCTCTGCAAGACTTCAGGACATCCTCGTACACACTGCCCAAATCGACAACGCCAACTTCGCCCTTCAAGCAGTCAAGTCGCCTCAACGCAAGCAAATCCGACAACTTCTGTGCACGTCCCAACAACATCAACGGGACAACCTGCGAAAGGAACAAGAAACATCGTCAGCTGCATGGCAAGGCTGAGTGACTCCTGCGTAATAGAGTCACCACCATATTACTCACTAGAAGAACAACTCGACAACAGCACGCCTCGCCGCGAGTCACTTCAACCAAACCCGACGTACGCCGCCATCGCCCAAAGCGAGCCGTCCGGGAAGGATACATGGTTCTTGGACAGTTGCTGCGGACAACATATGTGCTCTTCAGGACGTTTCGTTCAGCGCGAGCACCAACTTCAACGAGAAGTTGTCATCACTGTCGCCAACAATCAGAGCCTGCGCACACGACGATAAGGAGTAGCGCAACTTCAGTCACGAGAGACGAACGTCATACTGCAAATGTCCAAAGTCCTAATAGCAGAAGGACTTGGCTACAACTTACTGAGCGTCAGTCAGTTAATGGCGAAAGGTATACATCTAGAAGCCGACAGCACCACCCAGGAGTTCAAGCTGTACCACGGGAAGAGAGGCCTCTACATCGGAAAGGCAGTCCTGAAGAACAATGTCTTCGTCCTCGATTTCGTCCCAGACCTGGGCACCGCAGACAGTGACAGGATCGTCACTTTCACATCTTGGATGCACCCGCCGGATCTCGACCCCGACTTCAGTCCGGAAGGCTTTTGGTATTTACATACCATTCCTGAAGCAGAACGAATACGTGCCAACAATACAACACTCGGCAGCAGTAGAGACAACATCGGCAGCAGCAGAGACAACATCGGCAGCACCAGAGACAACATCGGCAGCAGCAGTGACAACATCGGCAGCAGTAGAGACATCATAGGCAGCAGCAGAGACATCATCGGCAGCAGCAGAGACATCATCGGCAGTAGCAGGAACAACGACACCAGTCCTCGTTGACGAAGCACCACCACCACCCGCACAGCAGCTGAATCCGACTCAACGGGAAGTCCACAGAAGCGCAAACTTCATCGCCAGCTTCTACTCCAACTCCGACGCGTATCGACGCTCACCCGGACACCGCGCCTCCGAAGACATCTGGCACGCACGCATGGGGCACCCAAGCAACACTGTGTTAAACAACACAATAAGAGCAGGATTCCTTGACAAGGACTCATTACTACTACTCGACGGCAGAGAACTTCAACGGGCACGAGGAACTTGCCTTACCTGCCCCGAAGCCGACTTACCACATCGGCCGTTGACTCCTCATCACAACCCGAGCGCATCCGCGTACGCACCACTCGAGAAGGTGTACAGCGATATCCTGTTCAATCGGGAACAGGGACAAGTCACATAAAACTACACGATCACCTTCATCGACGCCGCCACCCGTTACGTCTGGCACCTAAACTCACCTAGCCGCGATATGGCACTCGCAGCCTTCGCTGCCTGGCTACCAGTAGCAGAGCGAGAGTCGGGCGTACAACTGAAAAGCTTCCAGTCAGACGGAGGAGGAGAATACACTTCTCAGCGATTCAAGCAGTACCTGGCGGAAAGGGGAATCAAGCAGCTCCTCTCTCTTCCCTACGCCCATCAGCAGCAAGGTGTAGCAGAAAGAATGAACAGGACTCTGCAGAACAGCATGCCCAAACTGTTACGTGGCATGCGGCTACCCAACCACCAGTGGCCTGCAGCAATGGACCACGCTCTCATGCTGCACAACTTGATGTCGTCGTCTTCACTTCCGAACAACGCGTCACCGCATCTGCTATGGACAGGGAAACAGGGCAACACAAAAATGTTACGAGTTTTCGGGTGCATGGTACAGTACCGACCCCCAGAAGCACAAGCGAGCCGATTTTCACAACGCGCACAGTGGGGGCTACACCTCGGCATCGAAAAGAACTACAACGCGCGGAAAATCTTCGACGTCCACTCCAAGGAAACAGTAGCAGCACGTGACGTAATTTTCTACGAACGACGCACGCTTCAGACGTACCTTGCCAACTTGCAAGAAAATGAAGATCCCACAGGTGGCTTTCGTGGTGACCGAGCCTTCGCCTCAGCAGCGGACGAAGCAGACTAGGACGAGCAGAATGTGGACAACGCATCAGAAGAGGCCGGACCTCTCCCGTTTTGCTCCGTCAACGTCCCCATGGACGAAGACAACCCTCGCGAAAGCGCCAACGCCGAAGTCTTCTACCACTTCGCCGACAACGGTTACGTAACACCTGCGACGGTCAACACCAACGAAGCAGAACGGATAGGGCCAAATTTCATACCCGACCCAGAAGCGGGAGATGAAGCAGCTTATCCCGAGGATGCAACTCTTCCCCGCTACTCACAGACTGGACTGCAGATTCTCGGACTCGTCACCGCAGTCCACGGCAACCCTCTCCCTAAGGAGCCTACGACGGTTCAGCAGGCTCTGGGGGGGAACACAGGGAAAAATGGCGTGAAGCCATGGACAAAGAGTTAAAGGCGCTGGAGGAACGGAACACCTGGAAAGTTGTACCCATCAGCGAGGCAAGGAACAAGACCATTCTCACCGGGAAATGGGTCTTCCGCATTAAAACAAAAGCAGATTGAGAAGTTCAAAGTACGCTGGGTTGTGCGTGGATTCGATCAGGACCACGGACGGGACTTCACCGAGACATTCGCTCCGGTTAGCCGACATACCTCACTTCGAATCCTCCTCGCGATCGCCGCCATGAAGAAGAAGCTACAGCAAATCGATGTCGCCAACGCGTTCCTCTACGCACCTGTCGACGCAGAAATCTTCGTCGAGCTCCCACACGGTACCCACGGGGAACCTAACCAAGTCTGTCAACTGCTGAAATCACTCTACGGGATCAAGCAAGCTCCGCGGCTATGGCAACAGTACCTACACGCTCGCCTCACTCGCATCGGATTCCGCCAACTACCTCACGACCAAGGAATGTACCGACTCACTAAAGACACCGACTACATTGTGCTGATCGTCTACGTAGACGACCTACTCTACATCGGCTCTACTGACGACATCACCATCTGGTTCCAAGGGGAGCTACAGAGGGACCTCACACTCACGGTCTCCTCTACTGTCACACAGTACCTCGGCTTAAACATTCGGGAAGAAGAAGGCGCGATCTACCTCAACGCCGCTAAGTACGCCGACACCATCGCCAAACGCTTCGCGCTCACACCCACTACCATCTCTACGCCCTACCGCTACACGACAGGAAACCACAAGGAAGGACCATCTCTACTCAAATCCGTCGGGATACGCGAGTACCAAAGAAAGCTGGGCTGCCTTCTCTTCGCAGCCGTCACCTGCCGCCCAGATCTATCCTACTCCGCAAGCCAGCTCGCCACCTACCTCAAAAGACATGAAGCAGAACACCTTGCGGAACTCGACCGCGCTCTCCACTACGTCGTCAGTACCTCAATGATCGGCCTAACCTACTACAAGAACACAACTACACCGACAAAATTAATCGGCTACGTCGACGCCGATCACGCTGGCGACTCAAACAATAGGCGCTCCCGCACTGGCTACATCTACCGCCTCGAACCTATCGGACTGATCTCCTGGCAATCGAGTAAGCAGGAACTAATTGCTCTCTTGTCAGCTGAAGCAGAATATATTGCACTCTGCTCAGCCACCAAGGAAGGACTCTATCTCCGCGAGCTGCTGGAAGAAGCGAAGTTAGCCGAGTTACCCAACTTCACTCTGTTCTACGACAACCAACCTGCAATTCGCATCGCCAACAAAAGTGGATTCGCAAACAAAACGAAGCATATCGCTCTGCGATACTTCTTCGTGAAAGACGAGATCGAGAAGGGGAAACTTAAACTATCCTACTGTCCCACGTCCGAGATGGCAGCTGACTACTTGACCAAGAAGCTCGGAAAACAGAAGTTCGAGTACTGCATGCTGTTGACTGGACAAAGCCACGTCACCATCAGCGACACTCCAGAAGCGAAGGGGAGTGTTGGGAACAAACAATCTTAAGCGCCTCTGTCGTGTCGAAACACCAAGACACAAGCGAAGCAGAGCATATCGAGGCACCAGCGAGTCAACCCTCGGAAGTTGATGTAACCGCTGGAGGTTACGCGAAAGTCTAAGGTCAGTGACCTTTGACCTGACAAATGCAGCGCGACAGCAAGGACACACAACTGACTCGACATTGAGCAGTTGCCCGAGTCGCACTGTATCGAACCGTAACAGCAACAGTAAAGTAGTTATAATTATGTCTCTTCATATTCTCTGTATTCAAAAATATATTCTTGTATCTCTTTGCTTTAAACAACTCACTTTGCCCTCACATACTAGCGTAAGGTGGTTCAAGGACTTAACTTAAAACGCTTCCGTTATTACATCACTCCACCCAGTCTTTAACCCTACAGAAGATCCTAAAGGGCCACTCAGCCCAACAACTGTCACAGCCTCCCTCTCCACCATCACATGGCATAGGAAACCATTGGCAGGAATACCAGTGCAACACATGTTTGTACCCTTATAGCATGCTAATAGCAGACTCTTGAGGCGCCTCCAAAGTGGTGCATGTTCTACTCCTATCCTATGGCATGCTTGTCGAGGAGTCACTAACCGCCTCTCGCATCGCACGGGCCATTTCAGCAGTCAAGTCAAATGAACAATCAGGACCTCCAGATTCCACGTCGATGCCAGAAACAGCTGCGTTAACCTGCACTCCAAACATCTCCTGCTTCAACCTCACCAGCTCAGCCAGCACTAGGAGCATGGAGGGACGAGAGGCCCCAGGCAGGGCAGTGCAGGAGAGGGCAAGGCGAGCCAAGCGCAGCACCACATCATCCGGTGCTTCCAGGTGAGGGTCCTTGAACTTTGCCACTGCCTCTGAGTCCAGCAGTGGTGCTACCTGCAGGTTGAAAGGATATGGCATATGATAGAAAGCTGAGTCGACTAAAAAAAAACAAGCGCAGCACCACACCATCCGGTGCTTCCAGGTGAGGGTCCTTGAGATCTGCCACTGCTCCTGAGTCCACTAGTGGAGCCACCAGCCAGGTTGAAAGGAAATGCCATATGAAAGAGAGTTGAGTCGACTCAAAACAAACAAGTGCCGGACCAACCATCCGGTGCTTCCAAGTAAGCGACGGTCCTTGAGTTCTGCCACTGCTCCTGAGACCACCAATGGGGCCACTTGCCGGGTTGAACAGATACGCATACGAAAGATGCTCTTTGAAAAGGCTCAGGATTTACTTGAACAGCAAATCTCTCGATAAACTAGGATTAATGTATAGGTGATGGGAGAATGACAAAAACAAGAAAGATGTAGGAGCATGGGATGGGCAAGGAGAAAGGGTGACTGGTTTGAAAGAACATGCAAGAGTTGAGTGATCATCATTGTTATACTTGTCGTTCTCAATGCAGCGATTGTCCTGTGCAGCAATCAACAGACCTACAATTTTTTGGCCAAGGTTGTAAGCAAGCAAACCTATTCAGTGTGAAGTGCAAAGGATAAGAAAAATTGTGTAAGCGCCCTTTGCCATTTTCTAGGCTGCACACACCACTGTGTGTGTGCTGTGCCTCACCCATTGTGTGCTGTGTGTGCCTTCACCCATTGTGTGCTGTGTGTGCCTTCACCCATTGTGTGCTGTGTGTGCTTTCACACATTGTGTGCTGCGCCTCGCCCACTGATTGATGTGGATGTCCTCTGTTACAAGCACTTCACCCAATGTTGCCTCAAAAGTTGTATACCATTGCGTGCAGTGCCTCACCCATTGCGTGCTGTGCCTCACCCATTGCTTGATGTTGATGACGTTTTCCCCCGTTCCAAGAACAGGCTTGCGCCCCATGATAAGCACCAGCATCACCACGCCAAAACTGCAAGCCAGGCAACCAGCAGGGACATCATAAACCAGAAACGGATGACACAAAGATCACGTTTAGGGCAACCAACACAAAGCTCACGTGTGACACCTACGAGGATAATGCAGTCGTCCTCACTATTACGGTCCTCATACAAAAACTTGCGTTCCAACCCCCCCCCCAGCTTCAAGAGGCCTAGCATCTTAAAGCCGTTGAATGGTCAGGTATGGCAAATCATGCCTAAAACCATGGGCTACTGCTACGATGTACGAGGCAAACAGAAAGCGAAAACGGAACAGAGTTCCCTTTTCCTTTTTTACGAAGGAGGGGGAAAAAAAACGCTCACTTATGAGAATTCTCACAAACATCAGTTTGTTAGGTGCAGGAGCAGAGCAGATGAGAACCATGCGTGGTTAATTCATCCCAATCTGCTTCCCTGTACCAATTTCCCACCTGTCCATATCATCTTTGTCCTAACTCTGCAGTATTCAGGGTCCACATAGAGCGGTGTTCCCATCGCTCTTGTATGCTTACTTACAGCTGAAACCGCTCCGCACCGCTTCGTACCTGTGCACATCCGCAGCAGGAGTGGCCTTGCAAGACCTGCAGTACTCAGGGTCCACATAGACCGGTGTTCCCCTCACTCGAGTGGCAGGCTCAGATGTGCCTATAGCTGTCCCTCCAAGCAGCTTCACAACGCCAAAGTCTGCAACCTTTGCCTGCCCACCATCAACCACAGCAACATGACCATGCAACATGAGAAGAGGTGACTTCATGCTGTGCCAACACATCACAAGGGTAGGAAAGCATTTCCTAAGCATCTCCTTCCACGGCATTAAAAACTTTTGCATGCCTGCATCGTTGTGAGAATGTCGCGATGCACGATCTCAAAGTCGTGAAGATACAGCAAGATATAGCCCTCCAATAAGTACAGCCCAGAGCAGGTTCAGACATACCTCCATTCTAACATATACCTCCATTCTTGCGCCAAGGAGAATGTTAGCAGGCTTGATGTCCCGATGCACGATGCCAAAGTCATGCAGATACTGCAACCCCTTGGCCACTCCAATCAGAATATCAAGCCTTTGGCGCAGCGAGAGAGGGTTGGAGACACCGGGACCGATCCAGCTGGCAAGGTCGCCATGGGGCATGAGCTCATAGACAAGAAGCTGCTCCATGGTTCGTGTGGACGGGTTGAAGTCGATGCAATAGCCCAACAGACGCACCAGATGCGGGTGGTGCTTGCTTGCCATCTCTTTCACCTGACGGGTGGAAAACGGTGAACCAATTAAGAAACCAATGTCAGCTTAGATTGGACCAATCTCTATCCAATTAACGACAACTTGGCACAAGAAGCCTGCGAGCAACATGGAACCAGCAAGAAACATGGAACCAGCAAGAAACAGTAACATGGAACCAGCAAGTAACATGGAATCAGCAAGAAACATGGAACCAGCAAGAAACATGGAACCAGCAAGAAACATGGAACCAGCAAGAAACAGTAACATGGAACCAGCAAGTAACATGGAATCAGCAAGAAACATGGAACCAGCAAGAAACATGGAACCAGCAAGAAACATGGAACCAGCAAGAAGCATGGAACCAGCAAGAAGCATGGAACCAGCAGGAAACAAGAAACCAACAAGAAACGCGAAACCAGCAAGAAACGTGGAACCAGCAAGTACGTGGAACCAACAAAAACTCACAACATGGTACCAGCTACCACATAGTACGACATACCTCTCTTTGGAAGTCGTTTGTGAGCACTCGAACTCGCTGGCTATTTAGAAATCTAAAAGAACAACTCACAACATGGCTTCAGATACCTCTCTTTGGAAATCGTTTGTGAGCACTCACAGCTCGCTGGCTATTTAGAAATCTAAAAGAACAACTCACAACATGGCTTCAGATACCTCTCTTTGGAAGTCGTTTGTGAGCACTCGAGCTCGCTTGACTGCCCATGCAATCATGGAGAGACACCCCCTTGTAGACATCCCCAAAGGCGCCACTTCCTATCCTGTTGCCCTCTGCCCACCCTCCTGTGGCCGTGACCAGCTCTGCCAGGGAGTATTCTCGACACACATATGGCTGTGCTACTTCCATCTCCACCACAACACTGTCCCCTTCCTGCTGCTGCTGGCCCTTCTGCTGCTGCTGATGCTGATGGTCGTGCTGCTGCTGCTGCGGCCGCTGCAACAGCTGCTGCCGCCCCCTCTGCTGCAGCTGATGGTGGTGGTGCTGCTGCTTCTGTAGCCGCTGCTGTAGATGCTGCAGGTTCATAAGAGAGTGGAAGAGAGAGAAAAAGAGACAAAGATCAGGTAAGGCGCCTGGAATACCCATCCCACCTATTCTAATACCCTAATGGGGCAAGAAGTACCGCCACCCACCACGGCTAGAGTTTCACCACCAAACCGAACACGTTTGTCTTTGGGTTTTGCTCATGCCCACACATCATCTTTCTCTGTATCTCAAGTCATTAGGGAAATTCAACACAATCTTCCGTTTTCGCACCTTCCTTTTGTGGGAGGAAGTGGTGGTTACAGCGGTCGTAGAGCGCCTGGTCCATATCGAGAAACTTGTTTTGAGAATTCTCATAACCGTTTTCACACCTTCTTGGAGGAACTGGCGGCGGCAGCGGTCGCCGAGCGCCTGGTCCATCTCGAAATACTTGTTGCACACGGTCATGCTCAGCCCTCTCACTGCCTGGACAGAGAGGAGGGGGAGCGGGAAGGGGTGGAGAGGAGTTGACATAGAGCGCCTGGTCCATCTTCAGAAACTTGTTGCGCACGTTGATGCTCAGCCCTCTCACTGCCTGGACAGAGAGGAGGGGAGGAGGGGAGGAGGGGAGGAGGGGAGGAGGGGAGGAGGGGAGGAAGGGAGGAGGGGAGGAGGGGAGGAGGGGAGGAGGGGAGGAGGGAAGGAGGGGAGGAGGGGAGGAGCAGAGGAGGGGAGGAGGGGAGGCGGGGAGGAGGGGAGGAGGGGAGGCGGGGAGGAGGGGAGGCGGGGAGGAGGGGGAGGCGAGGCGGGGAGGCGGGAGATGGAGCGAGGATGAGTGAAGCAAGGGGAGATGCAGTGGGAGAGGGTTAAGCTGTCAAGGACATGCATGCACGTACTACAGCCATAGCCACATTTCAGAAACGATCCAAGCACTCCACCAGGCTCACTGCACTCCACCACACTACACCTCGTTCTGGTGGCTTCTGGCATTGCATTCGAGAGCAGCGAAGATGAGCGGTAGGATGGTGGTGCGGTTCTGAGCCACCAGCGTCAGAGGCAAGGCACCTCCGCGCACACCATACCTCGTTCTGGTGGCTTCTGGCGTTGCGCTCGAGTGCGCCCTGCCACGTACCCACACGTGCCACTCTGCCCACACCATACCTCGTTCTGATGGCTTCTGGCGTTGCGCTCGAGGGCGGGGAAGATGAGCGGCAGGATGGTGGCGCGATTCTGAGCCACCAGTGTCACGATGTAGTCGTTGTTCCCCAGGAACAGCGCTCGCACCGCCACCTACAGGAAGGGGAATGGGGTTGGTCGGGGCCGGGGAGGGTGGAGAGAGAGAGAGAGAGAGAGAGAGAGAGAGAGAGAGAGAGAGAGAGAGAGAGAGAGAGAGAGAGAGAGAGCACCTTGCGTCGGTGGTGGGCACCTCCCACTTACTGCACTCCCTGGCCGAGGCACTCCACCCGGATGTAGCAGCCCTCCTCCCCCTAATGGACCCCACCTCCGGCTCCGCGCACGCCCTGCCTGCACGCCTTGCAGCAGCGGAAGCAGCCCTCCCCCCCGAGGCTCTAGAAGCTCTCCAGGCCGGGAAAGCAGACCCACAGGGCCTCAAGCTGCAACAGTCTCTAGCGCTGGCGGTTCAGACACGCCGCTTCCTGAGGGTCATGAACGAGGCAAGGCGGATGCGCCCCAACCCCCTCTCTGGCCATGCCCAGAGAATGCAGTCGGTGCTCGGCCCTGGTGCGGGAGATTGGCTGCTGGCACTACCCATCATACCCTCGCTTAGGATGGGACCCTCCCAGCTCTCCTCCGCTGCCGCGTTCCGCCTGGGCCTCCCCCTACCTGTCCCCAGGCGCTGCGACTGCCGCTACCGCACCAAATTCCCTGATGACCGCCTCCCAAACCATCTCATGCGCTGCGAGAAAGGGGGGGGAAGGATTGCGACTCACCATGCGCTCAGGGACGAGATTGCCTTGATTGCGGCAGAGGCGGGATTCACGGTGCACAAAGAAACCTATGTATTCTCTCTCGTTGAAAACCTGAAGGCGGACGTCGCAATCCGCCATCCCCGGACGGGAGAGGTTTGGATGTGCGACGTGACAGTGACGGACCCCGTTTCTCACCAAGATGAGAACTGCAATAGAGCACCGGGGTGGGCGGCTAGGGCAGCTGCGGACAAGAAGGAGCAGAAATACGCGCGCCGAAATGCGTGGGTGGGCTTCCATGCCCTAGCGGTAGAGACATATGGGTACCCCTCGCCCGGGGTGCTGGCATTCTTGCGGCAGTGCGCGGAGCTGGCGGCCAAGTTGCGATTCAACGCAGCCCCCAACTCCTACGAGGCCGCCAAGCTGCTGACGGAATACCGCCAGCGCTGGAGCGTGTGCCTCCAAAAAGCACAAGCCAACGCCCTCCGCTGCAAGACCAACGAGGCGATAGCAGCGGACGAGCTCGGCATGCGGGGCCCCTTTGCCCCCCTTAGCGAAGGCCAGCTCTACCAGCTAATAGAGCCCTCGTTCGACCTTTAGGGTCGGACGGAGGGGGCGGGAGGGAGTAAGGGAATGAGGTAGTTAGGTAGACCAAGTGTTATGTCTAGGTTTGCATGTGTTTGCATCTTCCCATGTATCTCCCATCAATCAAAACCAGGGCCATTCGAGACATAGAAGTTCTGCACCATGAGCGTTATGAAGTAGTCGTTGTCCCACAGGAGCAGCGTGCACTCCGCCACCTGATGGAAGAAGGGAAACAGGAAAGGAGGTTTGGGGCGGCGGGGGAACTGTAGAGGGAGCGCCATGTTAGAAAGTCAGCGGCCTTCACAAAGGCCAAACGCTATTGTTGCCCCCATAAAGGAAACGGACCCCACACACTCTTTATCTCAACTCTTAGCTTCGGTCAGTCGATGAGAATGCGCAAACTCCCCACCAACTTGAAATACATAGCGAAGAATCAACCACCATAGATGAACTAAAAACCTAGTGGTTTGAGATCTTAGGGACGTAATGGTAGGAGCGTTGTACCTGGGAGTGCGAGGAGCTGAGGCACCGAGTTTTGGGACAGCTCAAAACTCGACTTTAGGGATATAATAGCAGGAGCATTGTAGCTGGAGGTGCGAGTAGCCGAGGCATTGCACACCAAAAGAGTGCCAGAACACCGTACCTGAAATTGAGCGAGAGCGTTGCACCTGGGAAGAGCGAGGAACTGAGACAGCGAGCAACCTGCTGAACGGCGGCTTCATGACCATCTGGAACTCGGACGTCTGCATGCCACGACACCCCCGCTTCTACTCACAGCCCCACACCCCGCCACCGTATCACATCCCCTCCCTCTGCATTACACCCGGACACACCCCGTCCCACCATAACTGAAAGTGCAGAGAGCTGAGGCAGCAAGCGATCTGCTGGAACAGCGGCGCCATGACCATCTGAAACAACTTTTAACACCGCCTCACACCTCATCAGATCCCCTCCCTCCCAGTGCATCACACACTCCCGTACCTCAGAGTGCGAGGAGCTGAGGCAGCACGCGATCTGCTGGAACAGCGGCGTCATGACCATCTGAAACTCGGGCACCTGGGTAAGGTTCAAAATCTCCTCCAACTCCTCCAGGAAAAGCAGCTCATTCTGGCTGTTAGATAAGGGCCAGAACTTAAGCAACCCGCGCAGCACCAAATCTGCGAGCTTCGGGTCTTTTTCCACAAACTGAGTGATGCAGTACGACAGCTGCTGGTGATACATCGCCACGCACTTAGGCTTGTGCAGAGGAACCAGCACTCGCTCCAGGGATTGCGTATGCTCCTGTTTAAGAGGCAGCACGAACCCATTGACAAAGCTTCCTATGAACTCCAGCAACTCCGCAATGCCATTATGACGCTCTGACTCGATAAACTGGTCGAAAATGTTGTTAATCGCCTTGCGGATGAACGGCCGGTGACCCATGATTTTGAAGTAAATGCGGTGTAAAATGCTCTTCAAATAGTCCCGCTCGCGCGGGTCCTCCGAGTCGAACAGGTTCAGCAGCTTTAAGATGAACTGCTGGTCGATGAAACGCTTTAGGAGCCTCTGGTCGGTCTCGTTAGAGACGACATACATAAGCAGGAATTCGTAGACTATTTGCAGGTGCGGCCACGCGGCTTCCATAGTCGGATTCTCTTCCGTCCCGGAAATCGCGTGCGCGGATGGCGGTAACGGCCGGAAGAGATTAATCTCCAACATGCGCGTGATGTCTTCGAATACCACCTCGTTAAATTTCCCGGTTCCGGAATTAATGTAGTCGACTAGCTCCTGGAGTGTTTGCCGCTTAATCTCCTTCTCCTTCACGTTTTTCATGGGGTCGTTGAAATCGAAGAGGTAACTTGCAGAGGCGAAGCTTCCGGATAAATAGAGCCTGCTGCTCCTGCGCACCCACGTCTTTTAACAACGGCAGCGGCTCCGCGAAAGGCGGCAAGCTCGCCTGCGCAATCTCTTCATTCGGGCCGCGACGAACGGGAGCCGTTGGATTCGTGCCGCCTGGAGACGGATGCGAGCATTCCGCCTTTCCGGCGTCCGCTCCCCCCGAAGCGGCACTTGCCGCAGCTGCTGCTGCATTGCCTGCATTGTGCGACGCTGCGTCTGTCTTACCCTGCTTTTCCCGACCCCTTACAAACGTCTTTTTAAATGACTCTAGCATGCTAAGCCACTTCCTGCACGTGGAACCCTAATGCTAATATCGAACTAACGCCGTTTGGTTTCAGTCAGGCAGCAATAGCATTCATAGTAGGCGAGAGTAGGTCTACCCCGAACTCGCCAAGCTTCGGACTTCTAAACGGCTGGCTTCCCAAAAGATAAGCAGGGAACTGATAAATACATCTAGCGGCTCATCTAGCAGTTTTTACAGGAATAAGGACTCACGCATCAGCCATGTTCCTGGACTGGGCTGCTATGGATAATCTAAAGTGAGCTCCGACGGTTGAGAGTTCGCAGCACACCCAGCCGGCAGCATTGAGCACGTTCCCCACGCGCAATTCCTTCTCGCCTGGTTCCATCGCCCTCGTTTCGTTGTTTTCGTTTCGCCACATCACTTCTCACCTGTTTCCTTTCGTTCCAGCTAGTAAAATTTCGCGCAACCCCAATTTCCCATTCCGACCGGTGAAGCCAAGGGGATAAACAGTCACGACTGTTACCCAGCGGTCACCCCCCAAATCCGGCATATCTCGTAAGAACCAATATGGGGTACAGATTTTAGAAACTACACGAGCGGGTTCAAACAGGATGCGTAGCTTACACTATAGGTACATTCTTGGCTCGCGTCTCACATGAGGTCAGACACGAAGTGTTGTTGAGGAAGAGCCAAAGTGACCTCGAACTCTGGCAAATCAATGTTCGGAAGACCCGAAGTGGCCCACTTCGGGTCTTCTGAACCTCCACCCAAACCTCCACTTCGTGTCTGACACGAGGTAAGATGCACCCTATGCTGAATATGTTTGTACTAGTGCAGCACATGTATGTACCCTTACAGCGTGTTGATAGAGGACCCTTGAGGTGCCTCAAAGGTGGTGCACTCTCTACTACTCCTACCCTATGGAATGATAGGTAGTTGAGGGCCACTAACAACCTATTGTATCGCACGGGCCATCTCAACACTAAAGGCAGAAAAGCCATCTGAACCTCCAATTTCCACTTCGGTGCCAGAAACCTCCACGCTCACCTGCGCCCCGAAACATCTGCTGCTTTAACTTAACTAGCTCGGCCAGCATTAGGAGCATTGAGGGGCGGGAGGCCCCAGGCAGGGCTGTGCAGGAGAGGGCAAGGCGAGCCAAGCGCAGCACCAACTCATCCGGTGCTTCCAGGCGAGGGTCCTTGAGTTTTGCCGCTGCTCCTGAGTCCACCAGTGGAGTCACCAACCAGGTTGAACAGATATGATATACAACAGAACAGAGTTGTGGGTCGACTCAAAACAAGTGCAGCACCAAATATTCAGGTGCTTCCAAGTGAGAGTCCTTAAATGCTGCCATTGCTCGAATCCACCAGTGGAGTCACCTACCAGATTGAACGGATATGCCATACGAAGCATGCCCCTCCGGAAAATTCAAGAGTGTTGCATGAAGAGCAAATATGTCAGTAGAATAGTAGCATCAAAGTATAGGTGATAACGCAGAAGATACAGAGGCATGGGATGGGTAAGTGGCTTGAAATAAAGGGTGAGTAGTACAAAAGAATGTGCAAGGGATGAGTGTTTATCATTGTTCAACTTGAATTCCTCAGTGTGGCATGTGTATTATGGGAGGAAAGAAGAGAGGATCATATGATCAAGCCTTCATGTTTCTGAAAGCAGCAAATCTATTCAACGTGAGGTGCACTTGGAATTATGAACATGTGTTAGTCATTGTGCGATGTGCCTCACCCATTGCTTGATGTTGACGCGCTTGCCCTCTATTACCAGCACAACCTCCCGTGACAACCACCAGCATCATCATGCCAAAACTGCAAGCCAGGAAATAAAAAAGGACATTGATTGTTACAGCTCCAGTAGTTGAATTGAACATTATCTATAAAAAAACAACCATCCACACGATTATGGTCCTCTGTACAACCACTTCTGTACCAAGCCCTTTTCATTGAGTGGCTGGGGATCTCAGTGCCTTTGAATGGTGGCAAGGCGTGCCTGAAACAGCAACCATGGACTGCTGCTACTATGTACGATGCAAAAGGAAAGCTAAAAATCATAGTGAAGAAGAAAAAAACAGAGTTGTTGCAAACATCAGATGGCTATTTCGTCCCATTTAACCTGCACCAATCTTCTAACCTGCCCCAATCTTCTCACCTGCACCAATCTTCTCACCTGCACCAATCTTCTCATTTTGCACCAATCTTCTCACCTGCACCAATCTTCTCACCTGCACCAACATGTGCTGTGCCAATCTACTCACATGTACACATCTGCTGCTGGAGAGGCAATTTGAGAAACGTAGTATTCAGGGTCCATACAGCCCAGTGTTCCCACCACTCGAGTGGAAGCCTCAAATGCTGCCATAGATGTCCCTCCAAGCAGCTTCACGAGACCAAAGTCTGCGATCTTTGCCTGCCCAGCATTAACCACAATAACAACATGATCACGCAACAAGAAATTAGGTGACGGTACTCTATACCTAGCTATTCAGAACATCACATGATAGCAGAAAGGGATGAAAAAGTATAGGATATCATCTTTCTTCCACATGCAACCCCGCTTAAAAAAGGTTGAGCATACCTACATTCTTCTATCAAGGAGAATGTTGGTCGGCTTGATGTATCGGTGAACAATGTTGAAGTCATGAAGACACTGCAACCCTTGGCCACTCCAATCAGAACGTCCAGCCTTTGGAGTAGCAAAAGTGACTTAGAGACACCAGTGCCGGTCCAGCTGGCAAGGTCGCCGTTGGGCATGAGCTCATAGACAAGAAGCTGCTCCATGGTTCCTGTGGACGGGTCAAAGTCGATGCAATAGCCCAACAGACGCACGAGATGTGGGTGGTGCTTGCTTGCCATCCATTTAACCTGATGGGGGGAAGATGATGAACCGATGAAAGGAGAATGAACTAAGCAACCAGAAACTGATGTTGGCTTGGCAAAACAAACGTGGTCCCAACCTGAAACTAAGATATGCTACGTCACTCTTAGATTAGTTCAAGCTGGAAGTTAAAAAAAAAAAGAAAAACGAAAAAAAAAAAAGAGGCGACGAAATCGTCTTAAGGTTGCGAAGCATTTAGTTTAATGTTCATTTATTATTGTAATATTTGTTTCAAGGTTCTTGTTTACAACAAAGGCAACTTATGTAGGGGATACTTGTTGATTTGAAAATGGTAAAATTTCACGACTAACGCGAGATTTGAACCCGCAACCACAGTATTCACAGGCTATACGAAAACAACAACTAAACAATGTGAGAATAAGAACGAGGAATGAATGAACTAGCAAGCAGGTCGGTACAAGTATGAAAACCTAAAAGAGTTGTACCCCATATTATCTACCCCACCACAGCCTACAATATAGTTCCGACACACCCCCATAGGCAAAGTGGGGGACAAGCAAGAGAACAAGGCAAGGTCAAGCTCAGGATGGATCACAACGTCACCACACATTTTGAGCACCAGTTCAAGGCCACAAGGCCAGTTCACATGCAGGATTATAAAGCAAGGTGAACAAGCAAGACAGTGATCTCAACATAGCAAGGGTAAGCGTGTAGGTGCAGGTACATATAGATCATAGTACAAACAAAGTCAAGAGGTAAGCAAGTGAGGCCCGGTAGGCACAAGACCTAGCAAAGTACAGAAACGCTGATGATCACAAGGCTGAAGTGCCTTGGTAAAGATATCAGCAGTGTTGGCCCGAGAGGCCACGTAAGCAACACAAAGCTGACCACGCTGCTGCAACTCTCAAGCAAGGAAGTAGCGCAGAGCAATGTGCTTCATTCTGTGCTCCATTATGTGCTCCTCACACAAGGCCAACATGGCCTTGTTGTCGACGTACAGAATTGGAGGAGAACGTGGCGCTTCTCCCAAGCCGGCCAGCAGGTAGGTGAGCCAGCGTAACTCCTGTGCAGCCATGGCTGTGGCGTAGATCTCAGCCTCACAGTTGGAGCTGAGAACAGAAGACGAGCGGGTAGACCGCCACAAAACAGAACCAGAGCCAAGGCTGAAGGTGTAACCCTGTGACGACCGCTGCGTAGGCAAGTCGTCAACCCAAGAAGCTTCTGCGTGACCAGTGAGGACAACTCGAGCCCGTCCTCCAAGCACAAGCCCCATGCCCGACGTACTGCACAGGTAGCGCAACACCCTCTTCGCTGCAGTGATGTGCTCTGGTCGGTGTTGTCAAATTGTACATATGCCATATATGTTTAGGCTGTAGTGGGGTAGCCAATATGGGGTACAGCCCTTTCTAGGGTTTCATATTTGTACCCATCTCTTTCATAGTCCATTCCATTCCTGTTCATTCTCCTGACATGGTATCAGAGTAGGTCCTAGCCTAGGACCGATTTCTTAGGGCCCACCGAGTAGCGCTACCCCACCCGTCGCGCCACTGTGATCGCGCCACCTGCTGCAGCGTGCCCTACTGAGTCGCGCACCACCTGCAGCAGAGCACTCTGCCATGCCTGCGCACCGCGCCGGACCGCGCCCTGCCCT